TTTTGTCAAATATGATAGATTAATGCAATTTGCTAAAGAACCTAAGCCTGATGCACCAATTGCACCAATTTAATTTCGACTTTTTAAATATTAAAGAAAAGATATATCATGAAATAGTTAATTAGAAGGAAAAAATGAAGAAAAAATATGAAATAATAAGAAAATAAATAATAAAAGTAAAAGTTGAAAATAAAATGATGAGCTTAATTAACAAAGAAAGAACAAAAAAAAGCAAGCACAATAAAAAGAAAAAGAATAAAGAATAAAGAGCTTTATTGTTTTAAATTAGTTTTTATAATTAAGAATATCACAATACAAAATAAATAAACTGTTTTTACATAAAATTAAATGTTAAATTTAATAGATTTGTGCAATTTGTTAAAGCAAAACATATGCTTTATGCACCAATTTTATTATAACTTTTTTAAATATTGAATAAAACATATATTATAAATTAATTAGAAGAAAAAATATAATATAATACGAAATTAGCGTATTAATTATTAATAAAAGCAAAATTTGAAATTAAAAAAATTAGCTAGATTTTTCAAAAAAACAAATACATATATTTTACATATATTCCTTTTAAAATTTGTTATTGTAAATATAAAAAGGTGGGTTGGGCTATAATTCTGCCTATCTATTATATTATTATTTTCTTTCAAAACCAATAATTTATTTACTTTTTTCATTAACCCAATTGAATTAATTTATATTATTTTTCTAATTAAATACCTAAAACTCTTATGTGATGCTTATTATAATAGAAATCAATTTAAATACAGACTCAAACATTTTGTAATTAATTTTTGATTTTCCTCTTTATATAATCTGAGCCTCATTAATTTACTCTTAAAGCCACTCTTTCTCGATGTAATCTATTTGAATAATATATTAATTAATTTATTAATAAATGTGAATTTTTAATAATATGTAATTTTTCTTATTTGATTTTTCTTAAAAAATAACCAAATAATCTAATCATCTTTTTTGCCACAATTAAATAAAAAGTAAAAGTATCGTATTTCCATATATATTTTAACTTACATCAATTAATTTATCTTATAATTGTTTTTTAATATTATTTTTATATGTTTTTTTTCAATGATATAAAAAATCAATGTTGTCTTTTTATAAAATTGAACTTATTTAAGGATGAAAAATTTATAACAACTCTCTCAATCTTTATTTTAAATATAATGTAAGTAAGATTAATTAGATTTGATAGACTAAATATGATATTTTCACCTAAATATGATACTATTAAAAATTAATCTTTAAATGCGTTAATATTAAATTTATATTTATCCACTCTATTGCTAAGAATAAATTTTAAAATTATAATTCTATTCTAAATATTTAAAAAAAAATTATTTTATTATTTTCTATCTAAACCAATAATTTATTTATTACTTTAACTCAACTCAATTTATTATTTTTGTGTTGTTTTTCTAATTAAATACCTAGAGGATTTGACTTTCTTCTTTTTATCTGAAAATCTGAGCCACTTAAAATATACTTTATAGCCACTCTTTCTCATAATTACCTTATAATTAATAGATTTATACCTAAATATTAATTTCTAAGATTGCTTAATTTTTCTTTTTGGTTTTTCTTAAAATGACCCCCACATAATTTAATCATCTTTTTTTCCACACAATTAGATTATTTTAATATAATAAAAATAAAAGTGTTTTATCTCATATTTAAAAGTATTTATTATCTTAAATTAATTTCGATCAATTGGTTTATCTCATTAATTATTGCTCTCTAAATCTATTTTTAATGATTTTAGAATACGTATTTTACTTATAGATGTTGTCATTTCATATCTTTTTTATTAAATTTATTGGATAAAAATGCAATAGATTTTTGCTTTAAAAAAACCATTTTTTATATATCGGATATAATATTTATTAATTTAATAGCAAGCTAAAATACGAAATATCAATAAAAATGTAGAATACTGACTATAAGACATAAGGAATACTAGATTTAGAAAAAATCTAAGGTGAATTCTTAGAAAGAATATTAGAAGCATTATAATTCGAAAAACAAGACATTTCAATGTAGCTCTTGGAAATTTTAAGGTAAGACTTCATTTCGTTAGAATCCATTTAAGATAAGTTTAATGAAATTCTAGACGAAAAGTAATTAAATCTGATAGTATAAATAGCTAATGAATATCATTTGAGATATTTAACTCAAAGATAAAAAATTGAAAGCGAAGTGAATTAATCTATTTCACTTGACATAAATGCTAGTTCTGAGAATGCAAATACTTCGAATACTTGTTCATAGGATAAGAAAACTATCTAAGAAAAATATTAAGAAATTCAAAAAGAAGGCTTTGCTGAAGTATCTTAAATAATTAAGCCAAATTTGGAAACAGCCAATTAGCTACATCTAGATTAGCCAGTTAATAGCTTAGCTACAAATGTAGATAACTCAAATAAAAGTGAATCAGAATAATAAGATATTTTAGAAAATGCTCATCTTAAAACAAGTCAGACTGAGTAGATGTTAAAGATCTAAGAAGAGCTTATAATTAATTAGAAGGAAAACGAAGAGTAAATTGTACTATTATAATAAAAAAATGATTAAATACAGGAGGAAAAAAGTACAGAAATAGTTACATATGTTGAAATCAAAAATAAAGATAATTCTGTTTAAAATAATTAGATATGTGAACTTTAATCAAAGATTTAAGAACTCTAAAATTAAATCAACTAATTTATCAATGAATTCTAAGAGTATGTTGTGAATTAGCTTAAAGATAAATGCAAATAGATCAATATGGATGATGTAAGCTAATTAGTTGGAAAATTAGCTTTAGATAATAGTCTGTAAAATGAATCAGAACACATAGAAAAGATTATTCAAAGTTTTAATTTTACAAGGAAACAAGACAAAAACATTAAAGCTGAAATGAAAAAGTTTAGTGATGAAATAATGAAAATAAAAGAGGCTATTAATGAGTAAGTGGTCAAGATTTAGGAGCTTAAAGTGCTTTCAGAGAAATAATCAATTAGCAAGAAGGAGATACTCATCAATAAATTAATTGAATAAATTAGCTAAACAACTTAATAAGACTGGACAAAAACAAATAAAGATATACTAACATAGCTAATTAATTACATTTAAGTTATTATTGAAGAAAATTAATAAGCATCTGAAGAAATGATCCTGGATATTATAGAAAATCTAGAACTTAGCAAGCCAATAGAAAATCAGATTTTAATTGATATAAATAATTTTATCAGTGAATACAAGTAAATATTTTTAAGTTAAGGAGATGATGCTTAGTTATAAACTGAAACAGATCATTGTGAAAACTTTATTAAAAATTTGAATTTATAAATTAATGAAATATGTTAATTTGATTGGAATTAAGTCCATAAAGAAATTCTAGAAAAGTTAAATTCTTACTGCAAAGATATGATAAAATAGAATAAATAAATAGATGAAGAAACAGTTCTTAGCATAATTGAGGATGCAGAAATAAGTAAAGATAAAGAAATGGAGATAATTAATGTAATAAATCTTCTTACTATATAATATTAAACATCAACAAAAACTGATGAAAACAAGGTTCAATAATAAATAGACTAAAAGTAATAATTTATTGATAATTTTATTAAAAATATTAATGAAATATCATAAGTAGATTTGATTAAGGATCACAATCCTACTCTTAATAAGCTAATTTAATATTTAAAAGATGTAGCTAGCCTTAATCAGGAAGTTAATGAATTAAATATAATATCACTTATCGAAAGTATAAAACTTAGTAGATTAAAAGAAAAGAAAATTTTAAGTTAAGCTAAGAGCTTTATAACTGAATATAAGGTTTTATTAGAACAAGATATAAAAATACTTAACGAAGAGTAGAATATTTAATTAGATGAAGAATAATAAAAGTAATTTAAATACGCTTTTGATTTGCTTGATGAAAATAAGAAATAAATTTGTGAAAAATAAATAAAAGTTATGGTAGAATATTTTGCTAAATAAAATATTAAATTAGAGAGTAAATAGATTTTTAGATGTCAAACAATAGTCGCAAAATATCCAGAATTTGAGAACTTTGATTTAGCGCTGTAAGAAATTTAGAAAATTGACAATAAACTACAACCCATAAATATACTTGATATCTACAATAAATGGTTGGAACTAGATTATAGCATAAATAAAGTTGAAAAATAAATTATTTTGTAACTTTAGCAATTTTACTTTTAAAAAAATAGCAATTTAATCCAGTTTGAAATTATTCAAAAATTAATAATGGCTCTTAAATCTAAAAGCAATAACGAAATAGAAGATCTTTTTGATATTCTTTAAATTTCTAATAAAAAAATGAAGAAAATACTTTAAATTTGGGATGATGAACAGAATAAAGATAATTAATAGCCTGAATTTTTAAATTTCAAATAATTCCTTTAGAACTAAATTGATGATAAAAAAATGAAAAGTAAAGTAAATAATAGTAAGGTTTAAATAATAATTGATCTTCTAAAATCTACAGACAAGCAAGATCTTAAGAAACTAGATGAAATTTTTGATTAATTTGATTTGACTTAGAAATAAATTAGATTGATTAAACAATAATATGAAAGTAATTATTAAAAAATATTTAATTAATAAAATGAAGTGATTTAAGAATAACTGATCTTAAAATAGAGAATTGATAAAAAAGATTAAATTTAAAGTAAAATCTACACCTTATTATATCAGCAAAAAGATTATTGCCTTGATGTTGCGAGCTTAAAAGTTATATGTGACTTTTAAAATGTTTAAGAATTAATTAATTCACTAAAATAAAAGGAAGTTAAAACTATAGGATTTTATGGAGATTTTAAACTTTCAATTAAAATAATTTAATCATATTACCCTAATTCTCCAGAATTGTATGACTTAGACCTTTATAAGCCTCCAAATTATGATTAATTAGTGGCTATTACTGATGGGTAGTTAGTATTTTTAATTTTATAAGGTGCGAAAAGTGCTTTTGAAGGTGATGTATTTGATAATGAAGAAGGCTAATTATACATACGTTTCCTCTTAGATAGTTGTCCTATACTTATTACATGCTTGAATGAAAAGTCAGTTTCTTTATGGAGTGATATTAATCCATTTGAATAATTTGAGGCTTTTGTACCTCCAAAGGAATACAAGGATAGATCTTCAATTTTTTTAAAGTAAATTAAAGTAAATTCTTATTTTAAAGAGTAAGGTCAGATTTTATTATCTAATGATTAAAGTAACTGTATGGTAATTCATTAATTTTAATTAGCTAACATTTTAGATTTTAATAAAAATGACACATATAAAAAATAAATATTAGATAATAAATATTTTATCAATTCCCTATTTTATAAAAATAATCTTTATGAATTCGATGAAATTGAAAAAATTTATGAGAAAAAAAAAATTATTTTAAATATATTTGATAAACATACAGAATAAATTAAAAATATTGAATAAATATATGAAAACTTTAAAAATCAAATTATTAGTTTGTAATCAAGCCTTCAAGAAAAAAATATATTGAATGAAATATTAAAATTTGTAAAAAATTAATGTGAAAGTTTATAATTAAATTAATTAGCTGGCGCTGTTTCAGAAAAATAGAATTTAGATAAGTGTAATAATAGTTAAGATTTAGATAAATAATTTAAAATTGATAATTAAATAAAAAATTAAGATGAAAAATAAAATATTAATTAAGAGCATTAAAATTATAATATTAATATAGTTTTTAAAACTCAAATATGCTTATGCTAGAGTAAGTCTGGATGTAAAAATTGCTTAAACTGTTAAATAGTAATAGATGACATCAACAAGAAAGTTGAAAAAACAAGAAAATGGTATCATAAGTTGCATTTTAATTTTAGAAATTATAGTCTATATGATATTATTTGTTTTATCAATAAGGAATAATAAGAATAGAAAAAACCAATTAAATTTAATTCCTTCTAAAATTACCTAAATTGTTAAAACTTTTTTAAATATTTTAAAGTTATTTTAAATTAAGTTCTAAATGACTTTTTTGTTGAATACTAAAAACTTTTTTTTAAAAAAGAAATTATTGAATTGATCTTAGATAATGTTTTTAACATTACATTAGAGTTAATAAATAGAATAATTTTTATGGGACAATTAATAAATTCATAAATAATCTAAGTAAAAGACAACTTTTTAGATTAAATTGACTAAATGTTTGATAAATTTACAAAATTTTAAGAACAAAGGATATACATTTATCCTTTACAATTTGCATATGACACTTCAAAAAAAGAAGAAATTTATTTAAGCATCAATTACAAGATTTAAAAAATCATTTTGAATGATTAAGCTCACTAATTAATTGACTACATATCATTCGATGAATAAGTAGATTATCTTATATATAATAATAGATAAGAATTTGATAATTAAAAGTAGAGAACATATATTTACATGTATAGAAAGAAAAAAAATTAAGATGGATTATAATTCGTATTTTAGATTCCAAACAGTATAGACATTTGTATATTTATAAATTAATATTCCAGATAGTGGATTATTTTTGCAAACGACACTAAAAAGAGCTCCATAGGAAAAATTAACTCAGATTATACTTTTGAAGAAGGAAGATTGGATAAAAATATATATTTTTAGTAAACACAATATGGAAATAGTATTGAAAGAGTTGATTCTTGCATTATTCTTAATGAAAAAAATAACGCTGTAATTCTTTATGAAAAAAAGAAAAAATAATTCTATGAGTTTTTTCTAAGTGGTCAGCTAAAAGAAATTAAATTTGATTTATCTAGAGAAATATCAATCGATGGAGTTATTACAGTTTAAAATATACCATATGAAGAGTCAGGTGAGGTTCAATCAATTAAAAATAGCTGTGAAGGAGACTTTTACTTATTTTAAACCGAAAAGTATCTATATTTAACAAATCCTAATTATATTGTTAAGCATTAAATTTCTCTGAAAGAAAATCTTTTAAATTTTAAACTTATCATAGTTGAAAATGCAAATCTATTGGTAGTTCTTTATAAAAATAATAATTATGAGTGTTATTTAATTTAAGGTATCGAAGAAGATTCAGACGATTCTATAAGTACTAGCAATTTAAGTGAGGATAAAGCCAAAATTGGTAACATAGTAATTGATAAAATTATTAAATCAATGGTTCATTATGGAAGCAATTATAATTTAATTGGATGTCCAGAACTAGTTCATTAGCTGTTTTTTTATGAAAATAGTTTAGATAATCAAATTCAACATTTAGGAAAATCCATTGATTAATATTTCTCCAAATGTATGATACAAAAAAATATATAATTTAAGATAACCCACAATCAAAAAAATTGCTTCAATAATATAGATCTTTTAATAAATAAGCTAGATTCTATAATATAGGTTGTGGATCCTATTACATGCCAAGATTTATAATTTATTTTGTAAACAAGAATTCCTATTTAACTTACAACTATTTAGTAAGCTAATTACTTGCCTTTAAAGGATGGTTTATTTAAATAAGACTTAATGAATATCCCAGAAGTTGAAGATTAAATTGAATAAATCAAAAAATAAATATCGTTTGGATGGATTGAAAATTTAATCTAATTCTAAAATTAAGAAATATATACAGTTGCTATGTGTGGACGTCAATCTGTTGGCAAAAGTTCTTAACTAAATAGATTGTTTGGAACTAGATTTGGTGTTTCAGCTTCAAGATGTACAGATGGTATATGGATGGGACTTTCAAAAGTAGAAGATAAACTTATTTTAGTTATGGATTGTGAAGGGTTATTTTCGATTAGAAGGACTGATGATGAAGAGGTTAAATTGTTATAACAGATAACAAGCATCAGTGACATTACTATTGTTTTCTGTGACATTGACGGTATTAATTAGCCACTTTTATCTCTATTTAAAAAATTATAGATATGTTCTGGCAAGATGCAAAGTGATTCTTTCTTTTTAGGCACAATGGTACTTTTAACTAAAAATATCTAAGATAAAGGAGATTAGAAAAAATTATTATAAGAGAGTTAATCTCATTTAAGTAAAAAAGAAACAAAAAATACGATCTCAAAGATTTTCCGTAGAGGATTGTCATATGGTTTTTTAAAAAGCTATTAAGATAAAGACTATGATTCAAATCTATAATATGTCAGGGATGAGCTTTTGTATAAACAAATACTATTAAAAAATAAACCTAAAAACTCATAACTTCTAATGAATACACTAAAATATTCAATGATTTAAATTTATTTAAATGATGATTAAGACATTGACTTGATAAGCAAGTAATCAGAAATTAAGGAATGTTATGACAAATTCGTATCTTTATTTTATGATATTTCCTAATAAAATTTCATTAACAATGAAAAATTAATGTTATAATTTGTATATAAACCTATTTCAGATGATGAAAACTTATTCATAAGTGAAGAGAAAATATTTGAATATGAAAAAGTAATATTTTAAAATGCTTAAAATTAAACTTCTCTATTTTAATAAGAAGAAGAACACAGCAATAGAGTTTTAATTAACGAGATCAATGAATAAGACTCTCTTAATAAATCTTAAGAAATTTTAATCTAATTAGGACAAAATATTTAAGGATATGGATATCATCTAAACCAATTAATAGTAAATATTCATTAAGATGAAGAAAAATATGATGATTAAGATGAACAAAATAAATTAGAACAGCAATAGTAAATTAAATATGAGTAAGAAGATTAAGTATAATATGACTATAAAAGCTATTAAATTTTGTAAATTAAATAGTAGGAAGTGAAGCTATTTCCGCAATAAGCTCATAACGCTTTTTCAGAAAAAAAATCTTAAAATTACTTGTTTTTAGAAAATATTTTCCTTAGTTGTTTTGGAATTTTATAAAGAATTAATTATAATAATTATATTGATTAAATGTAAAACTTTTTTGATTCCTTTATAAGTTAAAGGACAAATACCATCTTAGAATATTTTAATAATAGAATGCCTAAAGATTCTAAGTATAGGGATATAGTTTATAAATTCTAATAAAAGTTTACTACTATTATACATTCTTTTGACAATTAGTTTGTTATTTGTAGAAAAAAATGTAATAAATGCAATAGATCTTGTATTAATATTTCAGGTCACAAAGGAGATTGTAATTGTGAAACATCTCATAAATGTTATATTAAGTGCTAAAAATGTAATAACAATAATAATGAATGCTTTTTGATTTCAGGTCACTAAGGGATACATTATTGCAAGGAAGTAAATCACCTTTGCCAAGAACCCTGCCAAATATCAAACTCATGTATAGAACTTTGCACATTAATACCTCATTCAATTGATATAAAACATAGCTGCTAGAGTGAGCATAAATGCGAATATTAGTGTAGATTATACGATAAGTGTGGAAAGTCATGCTCACTTTAAAGTGGGCATGAAGAAATAAATCATTTATGTAATTCTACTCAATGCTATGATAAATGTAAATTTTGTGACAAACTATGTGGCTTTAATTTACATGATCATGATGTACTATTGTCTAATATAGAAAAAAATAAAGACCTTCTTATGAAAGAAGGAAAATTAGTTACTTAGCATTTATGCGGAGATTACCATAATTGCTTAGAAAAATGTGAAAAACCAGGAGTATGCAGTATAACTTACAAAACAGAAGAAAAGACATGGGAAACAGCAACATCTAAATTTGAATATCAATTTATAAAACCTAATAAATCATAAAAATAATGCAATGTTAAAATAGAACCTTGGTAAATAACTCATGCTGGTGAGCATTAGTGTGAAAGCGCCTAAAATCATAGGTGCGATTAATAGTGCCCAGAATGTTTAAGTTATTGCTTTGAAAATTATAACCACTCAGGAAATCATAAAAGTAAAAATCACAGAAATAAAGAAAAGTGTATCTTCGTATCAGAAACAGATCAAATAAAAATTAACTATGAATTAGGTAATATTAGAAAATACTTGCCTGGAGAGAGTTCAACACCTGAAAATTGTCTTTAATCTTGTCTTAGAATGGGTAGAGCTCATATACATTTAAGAGTTTGCAAAGGAGGAGATGAATGTGCAGAAAAAAAGTATTCTTTTGCTCGCCACTCTACTAAGAAATATAAACCTTACACCGATCTTGTTTATGATGAAATGTTATGTAAAGGCTATTGGAATAGCATAAACTGGGAACCTCCTGTTGAAGATGAAAACTTATAAATTATATAATCATGCAATGTAGGTTGTTCTCATGAATCACATACATTCTCTCCTAATTATTGTACAAAATAGGCATGGCATGAAGGATTGCACTAAATTGATCCCATAAAGTGTGAACACTAAGGATCTGGTATTGTAGATATATGCTTTACTATTGATACTACAGGTTCTATGGCCTGGGCCATGAGTAGCGTGGGAGAATCAGTAAATAGTATTGTAAAAAAATTTGAAGGAATGGCTGATATTAAGTATTCTATTGTTTCATATAGAGATCATCCTCCTTAAGATTTTTCATATATTTTTTAAATAGATTCTTAATTAACAGATAAAGATATAATTTTATAAGTTTTATCAAATATGGAAGTAGGTGGGGGTGGCGATACTCCTGAAGCTGTTATGGATGGTTTATATAACTCTATAACGTCTATTAATTGGAGAGATCGTTCTCAAAGATTTATTTTTCATATTTGTGATAGTCCTCCTCATGGAAGATAGTTTGGGGTATCTAGCAAAGATAGTTCTTGGACTAAGTATGGATGTCCTTGTGGTATTAATGAATATTAAATTGCAGATTAGTTAAAAGCTTAAAATGTGTATTATTACTTGGTTAAAGTAAATGATTCTTTAAACATGATGGAAAATATTTTTTAAAATATTTTTGGACCATTTTACAAACAAACAATAGATTTAAAAGAAACAAGTAAATTAAATATTGAAATTGTTTAAGCTTTAATAAAAGAAATTAATTTGATGAATGAATTTTATCATCTAAATGATTGAATTTTATTCTTTAAATCTGAGAGAAATTTATTATTTTAAATCTTCAAATTAATATTTGTTTAAAAGTATGTTTTATATGTGAGTATTTTTTATAATTTAACACATTGATAAAAATATGTATTTTATGTATAATAATCAATACAGATATTTTATAATAAAATAGAAAACAATATTTATTTATTTTAATTATTTTGATAAGCTGAGTTTCATTCAATTAGTTTTCACTAACAACTGATCTTATAAATCTTAACAAGTTTTATACATCCCCTTATCGTTTTATTAGTGAAAGAAACTATATCTTTGCTTCATATATTGCTATTCTTTGATAATTATTTCTTTAGTAGGAAATAAATAAATATTTAGTAGAATAATAAATATTATTTTAAAAATTTAAAGAAAATTTAAAATAATAAAAAAAGGTATAGATCAAAATAGGTTTCGAATCTGAACAAAAAAAAAAATAAAAAATGTTTAATCAAAGATTTGAGAAAAAAAATATGAATAAACCATCAATTTGTCTTTTATTATTGATAGATATAATAATTCAACCTATATATTCAAAACTAAAAAATCAGATATACCTGCCTACATTTGTATGTTAAGAAGAAGTATTTAAATTTTTCTTGTAAAAGTAAGAATTCACACTAAGAACCACCAGTAAGTCTTGAAATAGAATTTAATAATAATTTATGTTATTTAAGTTAAATATAAATCATTACATATTAAATATTCTTGTAGACAGTAAATAAACTAACAATGTATTTAAATTAACTTTAAACGATAATAAAAATTAATATGCCATTAAATTTTGTATATATTTTTTAAATTGTTTGATATTTTTTATGAGAAAATCAAAAACAAAATTTATTATTCTTTAATTATAATTTTTTCGGCTCCCTTATCTCTTAATTATTGTAAATTAGAGATTCATTATTTTTCAAAAATTTTTAAATCTTTATTTTAGAATATATTGTAAGATTAATTAAATTTGATAGACTAAATGTTATATTTTCACCTAAATATGATCTATTTGAAATTAATAAGTATTTTTATAAAAAAGGTAGATTTTTCAACTCTATTACTTAAAATAAATTTCAAAATCATAATTCTTTACTAAATATTCTAAAAATTATTTCTTACTCAACCTAAAATTTGTTTATTACACTAAGCTTTTCAAATTATTTACTTTTGTTTTGTTTTTCTAATTATATACATACCTACAATTCCTATATGACTTTTATAATAATAGAAATCAATTTATACACATACATAATCATAAATTTTGTAATTATTCAAAAAATTTTCCTCTTGATGTCTTAAAATCTGAGCCAATTTATATTATTTATAATCATTATTTATCTATATAGTCTATTAGAACAGTCTAATAATTATTTAATTTAAATCTATATGTGAATTCTAAGATTTTCTAGTTTTTCTTTTTTGATTTTTGTTAAAAATCCCCCCCAAATGATTTGATTAACTTTTTTACCACAATTAGATAATTGCAAAATAATAAAAATAAATTATTTATTAATAAACTATTTTAAAAATAATTTATTTTAAAATAAACTATTTTAAAAATAATCTATTTTAAAATAAGTCTATAAAAGCAATTTTTACTATAAAAAGGACTATTTTTTTGATATCAGATATAATATTAATTAATTAACTAAATAGCAAACTAATATAGAAAATATAAATAAAAATGCAGAATACTGACTATCAGATGTAAGGAAAAGAAGATATAGAAAAAATCTAAAGTGAGTTCTTAGAAAGAATATTAAAAGTGTGCAAATTGGAAAAAAAAGACATTTCAATGTAGCTCTTGGAAATTTTAAGGTATGACTGTATTTCGTTAGAATCCATTTCAGATAAATTTAATGAAATTCTAGACGAAAAGTAGTTAAATTTGATTGTCTCAATAGCTGATGAATATCATTTAAAATATTCAACTCAAACTCAGAGGTAAAAAATTGAACCCGAAATATTGTAAGCTATTTCACTTAATTAAACTGTTTAAGATGATTGCATCCCTTCAAATATTTGTGTGTAAAACAACTAAATTATTGAAAATAAATATTAAGAAATTCAAAAAGAAGTATTTGATGAACAATCATAAAATATTAAGCCAAATTTTGAAACAACCAAAGAGCTTGATCTAAATTAGCCTATAATTTACTAAGCTTTAGATATAGAAAATTCTAAAAAAAATGAAGCAGAATTTTAAGATGTTTTAGAAAATATCGATAGTAAAACACAGTAGACTAGCTGGATCAAGGTATAGAAAGAGTCTATGCTGAATTCTAAAGAAAAAAAAGAGTAAATTGCTCTATTGTAATTAGAAAATACTTAAATGAAGGAGGAAACAATTACAGAGATAGTTACAGATATTGAAATAATAAATAATAAAAATTCTATTGAAAACAATATTCAATAATAAACAGATTAAAAGTAATATCTTATAGATGATTTTGTTAAAAATATCAATGAAATATCATAAGTAGATTTGATTAAAGATCATTATCCTACTCTTAATAAGCTACTTTGTTATTTAAAAGAAACAGCTAACCTAAATATATAATTTAATGAATCAAATATATTATCATTTATAGAAAATTTAGAACTTAGTGGAGTAAAAGAAAGGAAAATTATAAGTTAAGCTAAGAGCTTTATAACTTAATATAAGGATTTACTAGAAGAAGATATGAAAATACTTAACAAAGATTATAATATGGTATAAGAAGAAGAACATAAAAAGTAATTTAGAAATACTTTCGATTTACTTGATGAAAATAAGAAATAAATTTGCGAAAAATAAATAAAAGTTATGGTAGAAAGTTTAACTGAATAAAATATTAAATTAGAAAATAAATAGATTTTTAGATGTCAAACAATAATCGCAAAATATCCAGAATTTGAGAACTATGTTTTTACACTGTAAGAAATTTAGAAAATTGAAAATATGTAACCCATAAATATACTTGATATTTATAATAAATGGTTGGAACTAGATAATTGTGTGAATTAAGGTGAAAAATAAATCATTTTGTAACTTTAATAATTCAACTTTTAAAGGAATAGCAATTTAATCGAGTTTGAAATTATTCAAAAATTATTAAAGGCTCTTTAAAATAAAAGCAATAAAGAAATTGAAGACATTTTTGATATACTTTAAATTTCTTACAAAAAAATGAAAGAAATACTTTAAATTTGGAATGAATTCGAAGATGAACAGAACAAAGATAATTAATAACCTGAATTTTTAAATTTCAAATAATTCATTTAGGGCTAAATTAATGATAAAAAATTGAGTAGTAAAGTAAATAATAGTAAAATATAAAGAATAATTGATCTTCTAAAATCTACAAACAAGCAAGATCTTAATGAACTAGATGAAATTTTTGGTTAATTTGATTTGACTTAGAAATAAATTAGATTAATTTAGCAATAGTATGAGATTTATTATTAAAAAACAATCAATTAATAAAATTAAGTAATCTAAGAATAAATCTAAAATGAGAGAATTTATAAAAAAGATTAAAGCTTAAGTAAAATCTACACTTTATTATATCAACAAAAAGACTATTGCCTTGATATAGTGAGCCTAAAAGTTATATGTGAATTCTAAAATATTTAAGAATTAATTAATTAACTAAAATAAAATGAAGTAAAAACTATTGGTTTATATGGAGATTTTAAGCTTGCTATAAAAATAATTTAATCATATTACCCTAATTCACCATAGTTAATTGACTTAGACCAATATATACCTCCGAATTATGATTAACTAGTGGCTATTACAGATGGGTATTTAATATTTTTAATTTTGTAAGATTAAAAAAGTGCTTTTGAAGGAGATATATTTGATAATGAAGAGAACTAATTATACATACGTTTCCTCTTAGATAGTTGTTCTATACTGATTACATGCTTGAATCAAATGTAAGTTTCTTTATGGAGTGATATTAATCCATTTGAGCAATTTGAGGCTTTTATTCCTCCAAAGGAATACAAAGATAGATCTTCTATTTTTTTGAATTAGATTAAAATAAATTCTAATTTAAAAGAGAAAGGTTAGGTTTTATTATCTAATGATTAAAATAATTCTATGGTCATTCATGAATTTTAATTTGATAAAATTTTAGATTTTAACACAATATAAACACATAAAAGATAAATCTAAATAAATAGGAAATTAATAAATGAACTGTTCAATAAAAATAATCTTTACGAATTTGTTGACATTGATGAAATTAAAGAGAAAAAAAAAAATATTATTTAAAATATTTTTATAAAACATACAGAATATTCTAAACATATTGAATAAATATATGAAGAATTTATAGATCAGATTAAAAATTTGTAAAATAGTCTTCAAGAAAAAAAAATATTGAATGATATTTTATAATCAGAAAACAAGTAAAATGAAAATCTATATTAAAATTAATAAGCTGGTGCTTATTCAGAAAGATAAAATGTAGATAAGTATTTATATAGCTAAGATTAAGATAAATAATAAAAAATATATACAAATCAAAAAAATGAAAAAGATAAACATAAAAAATAAAATCTTGATTTCAATCATAAATAATATGATTTTAAAAAAGATTTTTACTATTATAAAACTCTAATATGTGGTTGCAAAATTAATTCTTACTGTAAAAAAAATTGCTTAAATTGTAAAATAGTGATAGATAAAATCCACAAAAAAGTTCAAGGAGTATTACATTGGTATTATGAATATCCATATAAATTTTATAGTTATAGTTTAAACGAAATAATTAAAAATATCAATAAAGAATCATATGAATAGAAAATACCAATTAAATTTTCCAAATTCTCAAAATATTTAAATTATTAAAACTATTATAAATATTTTAAAGATACTTTAAATGAAGTTCAAATAGACTTTCTTGCTAATTTCGAAGATTTTTCTTTTTAAAAATAAATTGTTGTATTGTTATTAGATGATATTTTTAATATTACCTTATAATTAATATCTAATATAATTGATATGAGAGAATTAATAAATTCATTAATAATTTAAGCAAAAGACAACTTTTTAAATGAAATTGACTAAACATATGATAAATTTACACAATTATAAGAACAAAGAATATTCATTTATCCTTTAAAATTTAGTTATGACCCTTCAATAAAAGATGAAATTTATTTAAGCATCAATTATTAAATTAAACAAATAACTTTGAATGATTAAGCACACTAATTAATTGACTACATATCGTTCGATGAATTAGTAGATTATATAATATCTAATAATAAGTAGGAACCTGATAAATCAAAGCATAGAACATATATTTTGATGTATAAAAAGAAAAAAAATTATAATGACATTGAATAAGTATATTCAGTTCCAGGTGTAGACATTTCTATATTTATAAATTAATATTCTAGATAGTGGATTATTTTTGCAAATGATACCAAAAAGAGCTCTATAGGAAAAATTAACTCAAATTATCATTTTGAAGAAGGAAGATTGGATCGAAATATATATTATTAACAAACACAATATGGAAATACAATAGAAAGAGTTGATTCTTGCATTTTTCTTAATGAAAAAAACAACGCTGTAATTGTTTATGAAAAAAAGAAAAAATAATTCTATGAATTTTTTTTAAGTGGCCAGCTTAAAGAAATTAAATTTGATTTATCTAGAGAAATATCGAATGATGGAGTTATTAAGATTTAAAATATACCACATGAGGAATCTGGTGATATTCAATAAATAAAAAATACATGTGAAGGAGACTTTTACTTTATTTAAACAGAAAAATATATCTTTTTAACTAACCCTAACTATATTGTTAAGCATTAAATTTCACTGAAAGAAAATTTTAAAAATTTTAAACTTATAATAACTGAAAACGCAAGCTTATTGGTCACTCTATATGCAAATAATTAATATGAGTGTTATTTAATTTAAGGTATTGAAGATTTAGACGATTCTGATAATAATAGCAATTTAAGTGAAGTTAAAGCTAAAATTGGTAACATAGTAATTGATAAAATTATTAAATCAATGGTTCATTATGGAAGCAATTATAATTTAATTGGAAGTCCAGAACTAGTTCATTAGCTATTTTTTTATGAAAATAGTTTAGATAATCAAATTCAGAATTTCGGAAAATGCATAGAGAAGTATTTCGATGTGTGTATGATGCAAAAAAATATATAATTTAAGATAACTCATAATCAAAAAAATTGCTTTAATAATATAGATCTTTTGATAAATAAGCTAGATTCTATGATATAGAATGCGGATTCTATTACATGCTAAGATCTATAATTTATTATGTAAACGAGAATTCCTATATAGCTTACTACTATTCAGTAAGCTAATTACTTGCCTTTAAAGGATGGTTTATTTAAATAAGACTTAATGAATATCCCAGAAGTTGAAGATTAAATTGAATAAATCAAAAAGTAAATATCGTTTGGATGGATTGAAAGCTTAATCTAATCTTAAAATTAAGAAATGTATACAGTTGCTATGTGTGGACGTCAATCAGTTGGTAAAAGCTCTTAATTAAATAGAATGTTTGGTACTAGATTTGGTGTTTCAGCTTCAAGATGCACAGACGGTATATGGATGGGGCTTTCAAAAGTAGATGATAAACTAATTTTAGTTATGGATTGTGAAGGATTATTTTCTATTAGAAGAACAGATGATGAAGAAGTTAAATTATTACAATAAATAACAAGCATCAGTGACATTACCATTGTTTTCTGTGACATAGATGGTATTAATTAACCACTTTTATCTCTATTTAAAAAATTATAGATATGTTCTGGTAAGATGCAAAGTGATTCTTTCTTTTTAGGTACAATGGTACTTTTAACTAAAAATGTCTAAGATAAAGGAGATTAGAAAAAATTATAATAAGAGAGTTCATCTCATTTAAGTAAAAAAGAAACAAAAAATACCATCTCAAAGATTTTCCGTAAAGGATTGTCATACGGTTTTTTGAAGAGTTATTTAGATAAAGATTATGATTTAAATCTATAAAATGTCAGAGATGAGCTTTTGTATAAGTAAATACTGTTAAAAAATAAAGCTAGAAATCCATAATTTCTATTGAATACACTAAAATATTCAATGATATAAATTTACTTAAATGATGATTAAGACATTGACTTGATAAGCAAGTAATCAGAAATTAAGGAATGTTATGACAAATTCCTATCTTTATTTTATGATATATCCTAATAAAATTTCATTAGTAATGAAAGATTAATACTATAATTTGAGTATAAACCAATTTCAGATGATGAAAAATTATTGATGAAAGAGGAGATATTTGAATATGTAAAAATGTTTTTTAAAATGATTAAAATTTAATTTTTTTATTTTAATAGCAAGTAAATGATGATGAAGATAATGATAATAATAGAGTAATAAATAATTTGGATGAATAAGACTTTCTGATTAAATCCGAATAAATTAAGCTTTAATTTGAAGAAAATATTTAAGGATATGAGTATCATCTAAACAAATAAACAGTAAATATTGATTAAGAAAAAGAAGAAATATATAATGATTAAGATGAACGAGATATATTAGAACAGCAATAAGAAATTAATTTTGATTAAGAACACTAAGCATAATATAACTATAAAAGTTATAATATTTTGTAAATTAAATAATAAGAAGTGAAGCTAATTCCGCAATAAGCTCACAACGCTTTTTCAGAAAAAAAATCTTAGAATAACATGCTTTTAGAAAATATTTTTCAAAATTGCTTTAGAATTTTATCAAGAATAAATTTTAATAATTTTATTGATTAAATGTAAAGTTTTTTTGATTCCTTTATAGGTTAAAGGACAAATACCATTTAAGAATATTTTAATAATAGAATGCCTAAAGAGCCTAAGTATAGGGATATTGTTTAAAAATTCTAATAAAAATTAAATACTGTTATACATTCTTTTGAAAAATAATTTATTATTTGTAGAAAAAAATGTAATAAATGCAATAGATCTTGTATTAATATTTCAGGTCACAAAGGAGATTGTAATTGTGAAACATCTCATAAATGTTATACTAAATGCTAAAAATGTAATAATAATAATGAATGCTTTTTGATTTCTGGTCACTAAGGAATACATTATTGTAAGGAAGTAAATCACCTTTGCAAAGAACCATGCCAAATATCAAACTCATGTAAAGAACTTTGCACTTTAATACCTCATTTAGATAATATCAAGCATAGCTGTTAGCGTGAGCATAAATGTGAACATTAGTGTAGATTATACAATAAGTGTGGAAAGTCATGCTCACTTTAAAGTGGACATGAAGAAATAAATCATTTGTGTGATTCAACTCAATGTTATGATAAATGCAAATTTTGCGACAAACTATGCGGCTTTAATTTACATGATCATGATGTACTATTGTCTAATATAGAAAAAAATAAGGAAATTCTTATGAAAGAAGGAAAATTGGTTACTTAGCATTTATGTGGGGATTACCATAATTGCTTAGAAAAATGTGAAAAACCAGGAGTATGCAGTATAACTTATAAAACAGAAGAAAAAACATGGGAAACAGCAACATCTAAATTCGAATATTAATTTATAAAACCTTGTAAATCCTAAAAATAATGCAATGTTAAAATAAAACCTTGGTAAACAAATCATAAGGGTGATCATTAGTGTGAAAGTGCCAAAAATCATAGGTGTGATTAATAATGCCCAGAATGTTTAAGTTATTGCTTTGAAAATTATAATCACTCAGGAAATCATAATAGCAAAAATCATAGAAATAAAGAAAAGTGTATCTTCGTATCAGAAACAGATCAAATAAAAATTAACTATGAATTAGGTAATATTAGAAAATATTTGCCCGGAGAGAGTTCAACACCTGAAAATTGTCTTTAATCTTGTCTTAGAATGGGTAGAGCTCATATACATTTAAGAGTTTGCAAAGGAGGAGATGAATGTGCAGAAAAAAAGTATCCTTTTGCTCGCCACTCTACTAAGTAGTATAAACCTTACACTGATCTAATTTATGATGAAATGTTATGTAAAGGCTATTGGAATAGTATAAACTGGGAACCTCCTGTTGAAGATGAAAACTTATAAATTATATAATCATGCAATGTAGGTTGTTCTCATGAATCACATACATTCTCTCCTAATTATTGTACAAAATAGGCATGGCATGAAGGATTGCACTAAATTGATCCCATAAAGTGTGAACACTTAGGATCAGGTATTGTAGATATATGCTTTACTATTGATACTACAGGTTCTATGGCCTGGGCTATGAGTAGTGTTAAAGAAGCAGTAAATAGTATTGTCAAAAAATTTGAAGGAAAGTCTGATATTATGTACTGTATTGTTTCATATAGAGATCATCCTCCTTAAGATCAATCCTACATTTTTAAAATAAATTCTTAATTAACAAATAAAGATACAATTTTATAAGTTTTATCAAATATGAAAGCAGAAGGGGGTGGTGATGCTCCTGAAGCTGTTATGGATGGTTTATATAACTCTATAACGTCTATTAATTGGAGAGATAATTCTCAAAGATTTATTTTTCATATTTGTGATAGTCCTCCTCATGGGAAAAAGTTTGGGGCATCTAGCAGCGATAAATCTTGGACTGAGAAAGGATGTCCTTGCGGTATTAATGAAGATTAAATTGCATATTAATTGAAAACTAAAAAGGTGTTTTATTACTTGGTTAAAGTAAATTCTTCATTAAACATGATGGAAAATATTTTTAAAAATATTTTTGGTTCATTTTACAAACAAACTATAGATTTAAATGACACAAGTAAATTAAATATTGAAATTGTTTAAGCTTTAATAAAAGAAATTAATTTAACAAATGAATTTTATCATATAAAGGATTGAATTTTTTAATAAAACATTAAGTTTTTCTTTAAAGTGGAAAAAATTATTATTCTAAATCAGCAAATTTAATCTTTGTTTTAAAGAAGTTATGTTTTATATATGATTATTTTTTTAATTTTGCACTTTTTTATTTTTAAATAATTAATTTCACTCTTAATAATGCTACTAATTAATAATATATCTAATTTTAAATATATATACCTTCTAATCTTTTAATTTTTCATTTTTTAGATGAAATTTTGACAAAATAGTCTTGTTCTTAAAAATAAAAACTACTCTTTTTATTATTTATAAAAACTATGTATTACAAAAAAAGGAATAAGGTATCAAAACAAATATTTAATTTTTATTTATAAAATTGATTTGAATTATAAGTTTTCAAATAAATATAATTTATAGAAAGCACTAGTATTTTGAATAATTTTATATAATTATAAAAAAATAATCATCTTATTTACTTAAGTTAAGTATGGCTATTTATTAACAATAAGAATTAAAAATATAGAAACTAAAATTTTAATAGTTATCTTTTACTGAATTTTAAATTTATTGCTAATTCAATTTATTTGTCATCATAATTTTTTTTTTGAATTTAAATTATTAAGTGATAGTTTTTTATCCTTATAAGTATCTAAATTTCCAGCTGAAAATATAGTTTAACTATTATTGCTGTGTTTAAATTTTAAAGGATCTGATTATAGACTCGTTAAAGAACCTATTTTACTCGTGCTATTCATAGTTTATCCTTTTTTAGATTCTGCTTTTGTGGAAAGAGTTTAAGATAATTAAGAAGCGTTTTTGGAATGAGAAATAACCTAGGAAGCAGAAAGAATTGGAGGTAATTAAATTTTTTATTTAGAAGAGCTGGAAGCGTTATTCGTTATACTTTAAAGTTTAGATCTAGTTTCACTAATCTCTAATATTTTTTCTTTGCTTTAGGTAATTTAACGCTCACTTATGCTATTAACTAGTATTGATTTATCAAGTGTTAAATGAGTCTAACTACTACTTATCTTTTAGTTTTTTATTTTTTTAGGTGAATTGGCAAACTATGATTAACTTGGCATTCTTTTTTTAAAAAAATAGATTATTTTTTATATAATTTTATTATAAAGTTTATATAAATTTGATATTCTTTGTTTAATTAAATAAATAAGCAAAATAAAAATTGTTTGAAATTTTTAGGATTTTGATGAAAATTAAATTGAAATTAATATCACTGTTTTATTCAACAAAATAATTTTTTTTAAATTTCTTTTTTTGTTTGAAAAAATTGAATGATATTAAAATATAAATTATTAATTACACCATTGAAGTCGGAGGGATTATTTCTTATCTTAGGAAATTCCAGCTGGCACTAGATAAAAGGAATTATTTGACAGCTTTAAATTTTTATTACTCAGTATATGTATTAATGCCTTCTACAATTTTTTTAATGTACAGAAGAAAAGTATCTATATGATATTGATACATAATAACAGAGTTTCTAACTATATTATCATAGGCATTATTTAAAGAAGAAATACAGCTGAGTTTGAATAAAATATTTCTTAAGATGTTCTCTTAGCCAAACTAGAGCACGATCAACATTAAATTATAAAATTGCTTTGAATAGAAAGTATTAGTTCTATTTTTGTATTTATTTAATAAAATATGAACAATTTTTGTAATTTATATATAAAAGAAATGCTTACGGATGGTTAAAGAATTATATGGTAATAATGTGCCATGTAGTGTCTGACATTTTGTTAAATAATTCACATTAGTATGGAATGTCATTTTTCATGATAAGACAAATAGTTTCAAATAAAACCAGCTTACATGAACCCAAAGGATTTACAATCTTTTATAAAATTATATTGTATTTTTTTTCAAGAAATTTAATTTACTTTAAAATTTTATAGATAAAAATTATCTCTTTTTGCATTATGCATGTAAATGAGAGTTTTACATGCAAAATCAAATACTTCTTTGCAAATTTCATGAATCTTTTTCATGAAATCACCATATTAAGGGAATTCATTTCTTTTTTAAAAATAATATTAAACATAAAATCTCAAAAATAACTTAAAATATTCTTACATTTTTGAAAGGATTAAATTAATTATTTTGCCTGTTTCAAGAGCGCTGTTGTGAGTATCTTTTAGTTTACTTAAAACTCTCATTTTAATTAGATAATTCTAATTACAATTTAAATATTTAACAATTAAAATTTAATCAAAATTGTATTTACCATAATTAGCTTTTGGAACGTCTTTCCATCTGGATCAAAAAATATTTTAAATATTAAATTCTTCTTTGTTTCTGTCATTAAATTAATTTGAACTTTTTCATATAACTGCTTATTTTCGTTAAAATTGAAAGCTTCCTAGAGTAACCCAAAACAAATTTGACTACCTGGAACTGCATACATTTCTTTCTAAATAATCTTTTCAGAGAAATACTCTCTATCTTTGGAAAGATGTTCTATTTCAGAATTCACTAGTAAAACATTCGTGTCTGGATAAATTGTCTTGAGTTTAGCAGAAGAGAAACTATTCGTTGTAGAGAAATCCTAAGCACTATACTCAGGTTCTGGTTACTTGGGTTACTACTAAACAATTATTTATGAGGCTTTTTTGCTTATTTTATTTTTTAAAGGAGGAGGTTTAGCCTAGTTGTCTTCTGTCAATAACTTAGAATGTCTTTTTGCATTTTTATCTAACATAGTTTCTATATTTTCTTTTTTAGACATCCTAATGAATGACAGTTTAAAGTTAGCTTTTCTATTTTTTCAAATTATAAATAATGATTTTTATTAGTAATCAATCATAAAATAATCATACCTAAATTTATTTAATAAAGGTGAAGATGTGCTATGATCATCTTTAAATTAAAACTATGACTTTATTTCCTTTCTATTCTCTTATTCTTCATCTTCTTCATCTTTATCAAAATTTTCAATACTTTTCTTTAAAATATCATTTATTTTATTAAATTAATTTTTATTTTTTAAACTTGTTTTAGTTAAAATCCAAATTTAAAAAGAAATATCAGGGAATCAGTTTAAAAAAATTTCTAATTATTTTTTGCTTAAGCATTTTGAAGTATTCTTAGACAGTATTTTTGCATAAAAATTATAAATAATAATTCCCTAGCTTAGTTCAAATAATGTTTTATATAAAAATAAAAAGATTGAATAGCTAAATAAATAAATACAATATCTGGTAAGTTGCTCAAAGACATTATTTGCCTTTACTTCATAATTTCACTCTATGATATTTTTTTCATATTTTTAATTTTTTTAATCCCATCAATATCAGGTCTGAGACCAATAAGTTCTTTCATACTAAAGTACTCTCTATCTAATTTTTAGCAGGGTAAACCCATAACTTCATCCAAATATTCAGTATTTGTCTAATCTAGAAAGAAAAGATATATTAAAATTAAATTAAAAATAAGTAAATAAATAAATACATTCTAGTATAGAGATAAGATTTTCAGCTGGCATAATTATTGGTTCAATTTTTTTCCTAAATTTTATATCTTCATTTCTTTTAGACTAAATTTTATTTTACATTGCTATAATTTCTCTTTTTTTAAATTGTTTATCCCTTTTAAAAGCGTCAATATGCTCATTTTGAACAATTAATCCACTTAATTCAGTAATGAATCCACTGACCTAAATGTATTCTAATATCATATGAGTAACTTCTTCAGTAAATTTGTAAGTATTCCACTAAACATTGCAAATGCCATTTAAAACTTAGTTAATCTGTGGATTGTAAATGTAATCAATCATATTGAACATCAAGTTATTAAGCATAATAAAGTAGAAGCTATAGTCAGGAGTGAACTTAATAAATGAATCAATTAATTTTCCAACATGGTACAAGTTGGCTTGTTCATTACTTCTAAAAAATTCATAAATTTTGAGATCTTTTTTGAATTAGATTAATAAACAAGATTTTAGTAATTTATTTGTAAAAAAAACATTAATTACATGCAAACTCAAAGAAATCAGGATATGCATTGCAAACAACTCTGAGATTCTTTCTTTCTGATAAAATATGGATGAGTTTGTATGACCTCATCATAATTGCATTAATTGTAACAGGATCAAGTTCTAAAATACGATTAATTCCATGTTTAAATCCTCTCATATCACGGAGTGGTTAGTCTCTTTTTATTCTTGGATAGGTTTTTGCCCAAATTTTAGTTGGCAAATTTACTAAAGGATCAATAATAAAATCTAAGATTAACTCAATGTTTTCTTCTAGTTTGAAGAAATTAAGCATAAATTCGTTTTTTCCTATAATTGGAACAGCAGCTGTTTTTAAATAATAATAATAAATATTTTTAAATGAATAAATATCTTTTATTTCTTACATGAAACCATCCACTCTTCTATTTAATCAAGTATTGTGATTTCTTCTTCGTTTTGATTGAGAGACTCATCAGAAAAGTTGTCTTAAGATTCTAAATTTAATTTCAGATCATTACCTTCTGAGAATTTGGATTTAGTTGCAATAGGAGGTTGAAATGACTATTGCAAAAGAGGAGAGTTAGTTGATTATGAATCCCAGTTAGAATATTCTTATATCTATAATTTCAATTTATCTGGTTCTTTATTTTGATTGCTGCCTTTTGTTCTGATAACTATTAAAAAATAAATATTTTATCTTTGAAATTTGATAACTTTCTATTTGTTTTAAAAAGCGTTTCAAATACTTTGTAAAAAAAACTTCTTTGGTAAGATTAAATAAATAAATATTTTTTGTTGTAAATAATATTTTTTATACCTTCTTCAATTTGATCATCAAAATCTATCATAGAGTGGAAATAAAAAAGGAATGTTTGTTTAATTTGTTCAACTTATTAAATTACTGTGAGTATAAACTTTTCATCATAAGAGTTATGTAGGAAAGTGATAAAAACTCCGTTTTTTAAGTCAAAATCAACATCTTTCATAGTTGCATAAACAGTATAGATATCCTAAATATATGAAAGCGCTATATACTTTATCCTAACAATATTTAATTAGATTAATGAATTGTATTCGCCTGATTAAACTGTAGTTAAACAGCTTGCATATTTATTTTATCTCAAAGGCAAAAAGCTACTGTCATGCTATTTATCTTTATCTAGATCTGAAATCTACGATTCTAAAGGGTTTAATTCGCTGAGTTTCGACACATATTCTATGCCTTTCCAAAAATTTTCTAAGAATTCTAAATTATCACGAAACTTGTCCAGCAAGCTGTTTAAAATCATCGTGATTGAATTTGTACTAAAAATGCTATTAAGCAAAAGATAATCAACTATTTTAGGAATATTTATCATAGATTCTATTCTCTTTTCAAATGGCAGAGCATCTGTTATTAATTTGCATCCTATAACTATTTTATCTAATCTTTTTTCCTCATCTTCTTCGTAAACCTAATATTTTATTCGCAAAAGATGAATGTAATCTTAAAAACTTTGATCTTTCGAAATTTTAGGAGTTTAAATATGAAATAGTTCAAACTAATTATTTTAAGAAGAACATAAAAATATGATTTACTGCTGATTTTAAATGATCTAGTGGATTTTCCATAACTTCCTCTACTATGTTATGTGCTTTCTATGAATATATTTGCTTTGTATAACCCTAAATAGCTAAATTATAATTTCAGAATTTTAAGAATTCTAATTCTTAGTATAAAATATCTATCTTAATTGTGGAATTTAATAATTGTAATTACAATTAATTTGCTTTTAAAGTTTATATTCATAATACTAAGTAAATTAAATAACTGGACCATTAATTAAAAGGAATAAAAAAGCTATTTAGATTATAAATCACAAATCATTGTCCTAACTTATTTCTTTATTCCATATATGATGATTATCATATTTTAGTATTTATTTACTGGTGCATATAATATCTAAAAAGCAATTATAGCTTACCATATTAAATATCTTTATATATCTTTTTTAAATTAAATAAGTTTCTAAATGATTATTGAGACAGCAAGCTAGTAATTCAAAGTTTTACTGCTTTTATATTTAAATTTTAATAGAAATATTCACTAATATAAAAATCAATATTATGTTAAATGAAATATAATGAGTAAATTTATTGAATATATTTTACAATAAAATGAATTTTTTAATAATTTAATTATTATTTATTATCAAATGATAAATTAAATATAAAAATGAATAATTCAATTGCATTTAACTGGATGGATTAACAAACTCATAAAAATTAACGAAATATTTTAAATTTTAAAAGATCTGCTAAAAATTTATATTTTTTTTGTTTAAATTACATTCACATCAATAATTTAATATAAATTTAAATATTTTTGCATTAATTTTTTTAATTGTTTTTTTATAAAATCCAATAATTATTTTATTTGTTGATAGAATAAATTAAAGTAATTAAATGAGTAAATTATGTTAAAATCTATAGATTTTTAAATAAAATGTTTAATAAATTTTTGCTTATTGATTAAATTATTATATTATTGTTTGATTGCTTGCTTGTTTATTCTTTATTTAAGTGTTTCAATTAATTTATTTGAAATGAAGAATATCTTATATAAAAAGATCAATAAATAGCTAGGATTGATTGATTGATAGATAGATACCTTCATTTGCTTAATACAAAAATTAATTTTCTGAAAAAGTATTGTGAAGATAGGCTATTTTGATTGCAAACTATCAAGCAGGTAGATGTGGAAAATAGGAGTGAATGCTACAGAAAGAGATTAAATATAGGAAATCGATTTAAAGGAAATTGAAAGGTTTTAAGGAAAGTATGAAATGAAATTAAATGGATACATTATCAATAGAGATATAATTATACAATTACTAATTGAGCAAATAAATACTTTAAAAACAATTATTTTCAATTAATGATTGATATTATGATCATAGATACCATCATAACTTATTTGCTATAACTATGAATTGAGAATGTATGCATTAATTACTTTGATAATCTTCTTAAAATATTTGTTTTTCGCTTTTTAAATCAAGAACCATCAAGAGATAAACCCTTCTTAGGGAGTTGACCAAGATAAGTGATAAAGTGATTGGTAACTGATTTGTAAGATTCGACGTAGCTGGTGAGGCATTGGTCGAACTTGGCCTCATCCTTTTCAGAATAAGCCTTCATATTCTTGCCATAAACGTGCTTGAAGCAAGCTTTATAGATTCTGGTTGCAATAACGTCACCTAAAACTGGATCCATAGCTAACTAATATCTTTTGCTTTTACTTTTTTATTCTTATTCTTTCCTTTTTTTCTTTCTTCTATTATGATAATTAACTTTTTATTCTTCGCATTTGTAGTGCCCCTAATTAATGTATGCAAATACACTTCTTATTTTCTGTTTAATTGATTTTTTTCTTTGTCTCAATCCAGATCATTCATATTCAATCCAATTCATCATCTTTCTTTGTTATTTTCCTCTTTTTCTTCTTTTCTTCATTCATTTTATTTGATTAAAATAATAAATAACAAATAAAAAAAAAAAAAACAAGCAAGCAAGCAGCATTTATTATTTGAGCAAAGAATAAATAAATTTTGATATCTCTATTATAATAATTTTATTTTCAGCAAACATACTTTATAAAGATCTAATTTAAAGTATTTTTACCTATTACTTTCAATATGTTTAAAACACCTCAATTAATTTTTAATATATTAATATTAAAATTATATTTTAAAATATTAACAAATTTATTTAAAATTTATAATTTGCAAATTAACATGATATCAATCAATAAAACAACATCTTACAAAAATTTAAATTCATATTTTAAGAAAATTATAAAATGTAATACATAATGTAAAATTTGAATTCTTAAAGCTTAAAGACCTATCAATCAATTTTAATATTTTAAAATAAATTTTTAAAAATGTAATAAAAAAATTATATTTTGAGTTAAAAAATTGAATGAAGTAGGTAGGCAAGTAAATACATACATTGATAGAATAAATAATATTGATAAACATGCTGCATACATAAATATTTTTTTCTTTATTTGTTTATTTGTTTATTTAATATTGTTTGTAATTAAAATGTTATTAAGTGATATAATTTAATTAATCTGTTTTTATTTAAATATAATTAAAATAGCAATTATTAATTGCAAGTTAAATTGTATAGTAAAATTTAGCAATATTTGTCATTCATATTTAATTCTTAAGTAGATATTTTATTTTGTATAAATATGGTTTTGCTATATTTTGTTATTAATTTATTTATTTATTTATTTGTTGGTCCTTTAATAATTTAAATATTTAAAAACTTTATTTGTTTCATTTTAACTAATTAACAGCCTATCATTTCTTTAAAAAGTAACCAAATATTCTTGATTTAATTGATTTTTCATGATTTTAAGGAGAGGTTTTTAGAATATTATTTTATTATAGTGCAGTTTGTTCCATTTTAGAATTTTATTATGATTTAGATGTAGATAATTGACCATTTTTACTGTAATCATGTGAGCCTGATTCAGTTTCGTAGAATAAAATGGGAAAGTTTTTAGATTAATCTAAATGAAAATTAGAATTGCTTATTTCTATGTTATCTGTTGGATGCAAATTATTAATCATTTATACGCTGTTTGTTATTTCTTCTATGTTTATATGAGGTGTATTTAGTACAGTTTATTTTTAATAAGGTTAGATATTTTTTTATGCATGATCGAATTCATCAATATCTTGCATTATTTCATCAAAATCTACATCCCCTGAACCAAATTCATCATCATCTTCTTCTTCATAGTCTTAGATATCTTCGTCATACTTGTTACTTTTATTATTTTGCATATTTTTATTTTAATTTTATTGATTTTGCTATTCAATAACTGCATCTTCATCATCATCTTCTGCTAACTGATTGTCTTCATTATCACTTTCTACTTTATTAAATAAGGGATTGTCTTAAATAAAAAATTATTCTTTTTGTTTATCTAGATTTTGATTATTGGATAAAAGAATATCTTTGTTATCTTGATTGTCACTGCTATTACTACAAAGTAATCTTTAATGTGTATTTTTTCTTTTGATTTATCTTTCTATTTCATTTAAATCGTCATTTTGTTGGTGGAATGGAATGTGTTATGATTAAATTAGCTGATTAGCAATTTATGGTAGGTTACCATTACCACTTGAATTAATATTTTAATTTGACTAATTATTAGAAGAGATCAACATTTTATTAATATCCTCCATGTAATTGCTATTAAGCATTGATGTGTTGTGCTTTTTCTTCTGCTCCAAAATATATTCATCTACTTTTTTGAGTTCTTCATCCAAAACACTCACTCTCATTTTCTTTTCTTCTAGCAATCTTTTCATCTTTTGCTCTAGCGTTTCTACTTGTAGCTCGCAAGATTCTATTATTGACTAATTACCTTATTGGGAACTTGAAGAAAGTTTCATGAAATTTTAATAGGATTCCTTCAAGGCATCGAAAGTGTTAATTAATTTCTCTGATTTTTCATCATTCAATGGCTGCTGATAATATCTACCTCCATTAATGGATTGTGCAAAGATAAAGGAATCTGCTCCTATCGAACTGTTGTACAAAAATCCATTCGGACTAGTAGAAAAATTAGGTCTGTGCTAAGGACTTACCATATTTGTGCCACTAAATCTATGCATGTTTTGAATATTCTAGTAAGGATTTAAAAGTAATTTTGAATTAATTGGTGTTTAGTTGAATGTTAAATTCAGTTGCTGACTGCTTTAAAGAAGATAGGATTATCTAAAAGGATCGTTTATAACATTGTTCATATTTCCAGAGCTATGTCTAGTATGGTTGTAGTTATGAAAAATCTATTAGCAGAAAATATCTTTGTATTCATCAGCAGAACAATCATTTGGATTAATTAACTCATAAGTCATTTTGCATATTTTATCGTTAACAGCTTCTTTGTTTGAACTAAATTTTTTCTCGCAATAAAACTTGATTGCATTAAAAACATGCTATCTTTTAAGGAATTGGAAGTCGCTGCCTTAAGAAAGGAGTGCTTTTTTAAAATACTCTGGATTCATCAATACAACATTACAATTTGGTTTCTAAGGGATAAGTTATAGGTCAGTCTTGCTATTAATTTAATTTGTACCTACAGGATTTTAGAATGAATCTTGATTTCTAAAAATGCAATATTCTTCCTACTTTAATCTTTTTATGCACACTTCTTCCATAGCTGGACAACGATCTTTATATTTCTAAGAAATAATCCAAGTTTTTACTATATCAAATTAATCTATATTTTCTTGCATGATTTCTAGTATTTGATCTTAAAGTGTCTCAATCTGTAAATATTCGCAAACATCTAATGCATCAAAAATATTTTTTTTATTGATCTAACATGTGAATCCATAGAAACACTTTAATATTGCCTCTAATAAAGGTGAATCGACACTTAATATAATTTATTTAATACTAGGATTGTTTTTGAAGGTGTCATAAAAGTAACCGCTTTCAAGTTGTAAATAACCCTTTTACAATTTGTATTCTTTGTTGTGATTTTTGCAATTAGGAGCGTTTACTTTTATAATAATATCGCTCAAACTATCCTATAAAAAATACTGTTACAGGTTTGGATTAACTTCCAAAGTAATCTCAAAATTCTCGTTCATTTGCTATGGACCAACTAACTAAAATTATGGTTTATTCTTAGATCAATCCTTAACACACCGCTTATCTTTCTTATTATTATCTTTACTCGCTTCGATACCTTACTCAGATAAATTTCTTATTATCTAAAATTTCTAAATTTCAAAACTAAAAAGAATTAATTTTTTGTTTGCTTTGAAATAATTCAGAAATGAGAAGAAATAAGAGTTAATCAATATTTTCATTTAATTTATGAGTTAGCAAATATCTCAATTAAATTTTTGATAAACCCTTATCAAATAATTTATTTATTTACTAAAGTAGATCTCTTTATTCTTATTAGAAAGACATACTAAGTAACTCTAAATATCTTCCTCCTATATCAAAACCTTTTAGTTATTTATTTATTTATCTATTAATTCTTGTACTTTTATTGGTTTTTAAATTAATTAACATTTCAATTACCTTCCTTTGCTCTTTTCTATGATTAATATTATCTATCTATATATTATTTAGTATATTAAGTTATTCAAGTATACACTCATTCTGATTATTTTTTTTTATTTTTGTAGTTTTTTAGTTTAATAATTCCTATTATTGCTTATAATTTTATATTATATAAAATCTACAATTTTTCTACTTAGCCATATAAATTATAGGGTTTTAGTTTTATAATAACTATTTAAATATGTTTAAAATCATAGTAAGTTAGTGAAGATTTGTTAAATAAAAAACAATAAAAATTTTAATTAGATTTTTAGATATTTCCTTCTTACATGTGTCTGAAAGATATTAATCAATCAGTAAATAAATAGATTTTTATAGCTATCAAAAATCAGAAAATTCATTTTTTTGAATTTTATCATTAAATTTTAACTAATTTAAATTTGCTTAAATATATACCATTGATCAAAAAGAAATTCCAGACTTTTGTCTGAGACTTGTATTATCAAATAGGGCCAAATTCAAAATAAATAATACATAGAAAAAAAATGAACTAAATTTTTTAAAATAGCAACTAAAGTAAATTTAAAATATCAAAAAAAAAAATTAATCATTGACTCCAAAAACATAAATCATTTTCAGCATCCATTTTCACATCTTGCATTTTTTTGCTAATAAGTACATATTTATATCAAAAGTACCCATAGATAAGATAAAGCAAAACTTCCAAACCTCCGATTTGCATTTTTCTAGAATATTTAGAGAACATTTTATTATTAAACATAAACAAAATAAGCATTTTAAAATTTATAATACCACATCAAAAAAATTACATAAATTGTTGATATGAAATAAGCTTATAAAAAGCCAAATTCAACATTAACGACTTTTAAATTCATTAATTTACTCTAAATATTATTAAATTTGTATTGTCTGAATCAATAAATGATAATTTAAAAAACAATTATTTTATGATTTTAAAAAATATAAAATGAAAAAAACGATCATAAGATAAATTAAAAAAAAAAAAAAACATTAAAACCACTAAAGTTAAAATAAAAAGTAAAACTTGATTTCTCCCTGAGGTTTTATTTAAATCATGGCATCTAATTAATCGTGATAAATAAAAAAAGGATAGAAATATGATTGATGGATAATATTTAAGATTAAAATATAACTGACATATAAAAGTTTGGAATTTATATAATTTAATAAGATGTAATATAAAATTAAAAGTTTCAAATTATTTGATCGTTTTTGGAGAAATTGCTTATGAGGATTTAATTTATTTAAGTAAATTTTATTTTTTTATTTTTTATAAATAATTTATTTACTTACAAAAATATGAATGATGTTTATAAATATAAAATCAATAATAAAATCTATCTATTTATATTTTAGGTTAAAAACACCTTTTCAAAATATTATATAATAAAATATATAATATTATTCAAACATTTTATATTTATTCATCCTTTTTTCAGCAGATTTTTATCTAAAAGACAACTAATCTTTTTGATTTAAGACACTTGCTTTTTACTTTGAGTTTTTATGAGTCATTCATTGAGCTAAACATTTTATAATAAATTTGTGTAAATTATTAATAAATATCAAAATAGAATAAACTTTTAAATTATAAATTATTCTTTAAATTAATAGATAAAATAATATTAGTAGAATAAAAAAGATAAAAAATTAAAATAAATAAAAGCTATCAAATAAATTCAAAGAGCTTTTTTGTTTTATATTCATTATTATAGTTTAAAATATCACAATCCAAAACAAATAAACTGTTTTTACTCAAGGATAAGTGTCAAATTTGAGAGATTAATGCAATTTGCTAAAGCAGAACCTAACCCTGATGCACCAATTGCACCAATTTAATTTTCACTTTTTAAATATTGAAGAAAAAATATATCATTTAATAGTTAATTAGAAGGAAAAAATGAAGAAAAAATATGAAATAATAAGAAATAAATAATAAAAGCAAAAGTTGAAAATAAAATGATGAGCTAAATTAACAAAGAAAGAACAAAAAAAAAGCAAGCACAATAAAAAGAAAAAGAAAAAAGAGCTTTATTGTTTTTAATTAATTTTTATAATTAAAAATATCACAATCCAAAACAAATAAACTGTTTTTACATAAGATTAAGTGCCAAATTTGAGAGATTAATGCAATTTTCTAAAGCAGAACCTAAGCCTGATGCACCAATTGCACCAATTTTATTATCGCTTTTTAAATATTGAAGAAAAAATATATTATTAAATAGTTAATTAGAAGGAAAAAATGAAGAAAAAATATGAAATAATAAGAAATAAATAATAAAAGCAAAAGTTGAAAATAAAATGATGAGCTAAATTAACAAAGAAAGAACAAAAAAAAAGCAAGCACAATAAAAAGAAAAAGAACAAAGTGTTTTATTGTTTTTAATTAGTTTTTATATAGGTATGGAAATAAGTACTGAACATAGCAACAAGTACATTCAATAATTCATAAACCAAAAAGTTTTATGTTTTCAGTTTGTATTATGATTGATCAAGAAGTTCTTTGTTCTCACAATTATATTTATTATATTTATATAATACAAGCATTCTTCTTTATGGATATATGTGTGCTTTGACTTCATGGTCAAAATATAAAATAGAAGACATTCTGTTCAGTGCTTTTTTCCATACCAATAATTAAAAATATCACAATCCAAAACAAATAAACTGTTTTTACTCAAGGTCAAGTGTCAAATTTGAGAGATTAATGCAATTTGCTAAAGCAGAACCTAACCCTGATGCACCTTCATCACCAATTTTATTTTTACTTTTTAAAAATTGAAGAAAAATTATATCATAAAATAGTTAATTAGAAGGAAAAAATAAAGAAAAAATATGAAATAATAAGAAATAAATAATAAAAGCAAAAGTTGAAAATAAAATGATGAGCTAAATTAACAAAGAAAGAACAAAAAAAAAGCAAGCACAATAAAAAGAAAAAGAAAAAAGAGCTTTATTGTTTTTAATTAGTTTTTATAATTAAAAATATCACAATCCAAAACAAATAAACTGTTTTTACATAAGGTCAAGTGTCAAATTTGAGAGATTAATGCAATTTGCTAAAGCAGAACCTAACCCTGATGCACCAATTGCACCAATTTAATTAAAACTTTTTAAATATTGAAGAAAAAATATATCATTAAATAGTTAATTAGAAGGAAAAAATGAAGAAAAAATATGAAATAATAAGAAATAAATAATAAAAGCAAAAGTTGAAAATAAAATGATGAGCTAAATTAACAAAGAAAGAACAAAAAAAAAGCAAGCACAATAAAAAGAAAAAGAAAAAAGAGCTTTATTGTTTTTAATTAGTTTTTATAATTAAAAATATCACAATCCAAAACAAATAAACTGTTTTTACGAAAGGTCAAGTGTCAAATTTGAGAGATTAATGCAATTTGCTAAAGCAGAACCTAAGCCTGATGCACCTTCATCACCAATTTAATTCAAACTTTTTAAATATTGAAGAAAAAATATATCATTAAATAGTTAATTAGAAGGAAAAAATGAAGAAAAAATATGAAATAATAAGAAATATATAATAAAAGCAAAAGTTGAAAATAAAATGATGAGCTAAATTAACAAAGAAAAAACAAAAAAAAAGCAAGCACAATAAGAAAAATAAAAAAGATTAAAAAAAAAACACCTAATAAATACATAATAACAATATAAAAAAAAATATATATATAAATATAATATAAAAAAAAAAAATATATATATAAATATAATATAAAAAAAAAATTTTTAATTTTAAGATGTATTCTGAGTGCATTTATATGTGCGAGTATTTCTATTCTATTCTATCACCAATTTAATTTTCGCTTTTTAAATATTGAAGAAAAAATATATCATTAAATAGTTAATTAAAGGAAAAAATGAAGAAAAAATATGAAATAATAAGAAATATATAATAAAAGCAAAAGTTGAAAATAAAATGATCAGCTAAATTAACAAAGAAAAAACAAAAAAAAAGCAAGCACAATAAAAAGAAAAAGAAAAAAGAGCTTTATTGTTTTTAATTAGTTTTTATAATTTAAAATATCACAATCCAAAACAAATAAACTGTTTTTACCCGAGGTCAAGTGTCAAATTTGAGAGATTAATGCAATTTGCTAAAGCAGAACCTAAGCCTGATGCACCAATTGCACCAATTTAATTGCTACTTTTTAAATATTGAAGAAAAAATATATCATTAAATAGTTAATTAAAGGAAAAAATGAAGAAAAAATATGAAATAATAAGAAATATATAATAAAAGCAAAAGTTGAAAATAAAATGATGAGCTAAATTAACAAAGAAAAAACAAAAAAAAGCAAGCACAATAAAAAGAAAAAGAAAAAAGAGCTTTATTGTTTTTAATTAGTTTTTATAATTTAAAATATCACAATCCAAAACAAATAAACTGTTTTTACTAAAGGTAAAGTCTCAAATTTGAGAGATTAATGCAATTTGCTAAAGCAGAACCTAAGCCTGATGCACCTTCATCACCAATTTAAGAAGGGCTAAGCGACTCGAGTGGGCGAGTCGGAGGGTCTTAGCAGTGATATCGGGGGTTCGAATCCTATACCGCCCCCTTTATTTCGAAAAATTCCATGTAAAAATGTGAATGTTACCAGCGGTCTCCTTGGTAGGAGGGAAGGGCCAAATCTGATAGGTGGTAAAGAGGAGGCCCCATTCTGAACAGAAGATCTGGAATACAAATGGGAAGCGAGCATAATGCGTAGTCAAATCATGGAAGATTAGTAGAAATGCCATTAGGGTGTAGGTGACCCTTCCCTTCTAGTATATTACCCACAATTATATATAAATAAATTGGTATACGTATTATAATAATGTATAAGTAATTATATATAGGGCCCCTATCCCGAGTGCATGTAACCATGTGCGAGTATGTATGTATGTATCACCAATTTAATTTTCGCTTTTTAAATATTGAAGAAAAAATATATCATTAAATAGTTAATTAAAGGAAAAAATGAAGAAAAAATATGAAATAATAAGAAATAAATAATAAAAGCAAAAGTTGAAAATAAAATGATGAGCTAAATTAACAAAGAAAAAACAAAAAAAAAGCAAGCACAATAAAAAGAAAAAGAAAAAAGAGCTTTATTGTTTTTAATTAGTTTTATAATTTAAAATATCACAATCCAAAACAAATAAACTGTTTTTACGAAAGGTCAAGTGTCAAATTTGAGAGATTAATGCAATTTGCTAAAGCAGAACCTAAGCCTGATGCACCTTCACTACCAATTTAATTGCTACTTTTTAAATATTGAAGAAAAAATATATCATTAAATAGTTAATTAAAGGAAAAAATGAAGAAAAAATATGAAATAATAAGAAATAAATAATAAAAGCAAAAGTTGAAAATAAAATGATGAGCTAAATTAACAAAGAAAAAACAAAAAAAAAGCAAGCACAATAAAAAGAAAAAGAATAAAGAGCTTTATTGTTTTTAATTAGTTTTTATAATTTAAAATATCACAATCCAAAACAAATAAACTGTTTTTACGAAAGGCCAAGTGTCAAATTTGAGAGATTAATGCAATTTGCTAAAGCAGAACCTAAGCCTGATGCACCTTCATCACCAATTTAATTGTAACTTTTTAAATATTGAAGAAAAAATATATCATTAAATAGTTAATTAAAGGAAAAAATGAAGAAAAAATATGAAATAATAAGAAATAAATAATAAAAGCAAAAGTTGAAAATAAAATGATGAGCTAAATTAACAAAGAAAGAACAAAAAAAAAAGCAAGCATATATGGTAAAATAAGAAGT